TCCTCTTCAAATATATGCGCTCTAGGGCAGCGATTGGACGGACGAGAGTCTCAGACTACCTATATAGTAATCACCAGGTACGTGTACTAACACGACCGGCAGGTCTAATGGAACGACGCTCCATTTATCAGAAGCTCTTCCGGAGCAGAGTGGATTCAAATCACACGCCGGTCGAGTGTATGTTTTGCTTGCGATGAAGTGGCACGCGGGGTAGTTGGCTACCCAAACAGTGAGCTCGCGTGCAAGCGCAGGCCGTCCCTGGGGCCGTTCGCCAGAGGATGTCATACAAGATGACGCGGGTCAAGTTTGATCATCAGGTACCGGTATTTCGAGTGAACTAAATGGACGGGAACGCGAGGGTTGGCATTGGTACGCTATTGGTACGCACGTCACAACCCCTAGCTGCGACTGCGTTTCACAACGATCATGAATATCACATAATCCGCGAACCAAGTTGGGAAAACTACGGCTCAGTTTGGAACATACAGAAGAGCCAGCCAAGCAAAGATAGTGTTCAAATGCTGCCCTCTCGTACACCATCTTGACTGCGACCCGCTCGCCGAACGAAACAATGGTCCATTCAAGTAATCAGCCAGCTTTACGAACACCTGAATAATTTGCGCTGAAGCTCCGCACGGGTCTGCTGGCTTTTTTCTTCACACTTCATCGCTCGCTCAATCGTTAGCTCTTCTCGCGGCCAGGGGTCCAGCCAGGGTTAGCCCTTCAAAGTTGAGATATTTCGTCGTTAAGTCCTACTAGACAGTGAACCCACTGCTGGTGCAATTTAAAAAAAAGTTGAAACTGACACTGGACCCTAAGGCGAAAGTTTTGGCCATCGCCGGCGCTTTCCGTGACCGCGTCCTTGAAGCAAACGCATCTCGCGGGCGTCCATTAAATGACACCGCGTCGTTTCAGATCAGTTCAGATACGTTCAGCGCATGTTGGCGTGATCTCGATGAGGTGGTTGGTCGATGCACAATTCTGCTGACGCCGTCGCAGCGGCCGCCGTCCATCATCTGCCTGTGCCATGCGTACAAACTAACCAAGACTGACGGAGATTTTTGTCTGGGTAGTGTGCAGAATTCCCGTTCTTACCCTGCGCGCGTATAAAAGCGCAGCCTGGGGTGCATCACGTCCTTCACTGCACCTAACCTCGCGTCAATACTACTTCACAATGCTCAACTTCAAGTCTCTTCTCGTCGCGCTCGCCGGCCTTGCCGTCATTGTGTCGGCGCACGACGGCATCACGCAGAAATTCGCGCCCGTCTCGCCGGCAAACCTCATGAAGGGCGAGCCAACTGGCACAATGGTTAAAATAGGTGGCGTCGACACGTACGTCGCGCGCCCGCCCCATATTAAGAATGGTTGCAAGGAGGCGATTCTCTTCCTCACCGTGCGTCTCGTTCGCGAATATTGGACACTGTACCGACGTTGTGCGCACTCAGGACGTTTCGGACTTCCGCTGCCCAACAATAAGCTCATGGTATGTCGCCTTCATTGTTAATTTCGAAGATATCAACGCGCTTATCGCTGTCTTAGGCCGACCGCTTTGCGCGGGAGACATCGCTTCCCGTTTACGTCCCCGACTATCTCAATGGTAGCTCTTAGCTACTCACATGTTTTGGTATGCTAAACCTGACGCGCACTATGCAACAGGTGACCCGATCCCATACAATACGACCACCATCAACGCCACGGAATGGCTTCCTCGCCATGGAGGTACGCAGCCACATGCATTTCGATTAATACACGTCTCACCAAGACTGTATTCTTCCAGAGGACGTGACATCTCCGTTGATCCTCTCCGTCATTGGTGGACTGAAGCAGCAGGGTGTCAGGACGTTTGCGGCAACTGGGGTAGGTAGCCGTTTCCCCTCTAAGCATGGGCTCGTTCATCGATGATAGGTTTATGCTGACTGGTGATTCTTTGTTTAGTACTGCTTCGGCGGTTTGTATGCTATGCGCCTCGCCCAGAACAACACGGTCGCCGTCAGTGTCTCGGCGCACCCGTCACTCCTGACGTATGTTGCATTGTGGCCTTCTCAGCCACTTTGATGCCATTACTCATCCTGCCTGCAGGGTTCCCGAGGACTTTGAGATCCTTCAGGCGAAGAGCAAGGTCCCCATCCAGATCCACTCTGCTGAGCTTGACGGTGCGTTCATACTTTCCGTTTCGACACCCTTGCTGAGACGTGCTTTCCTTTTCAGCCGGGTTCACGCCTGCAATCGCAGCCATCGCAGACGGCGTGATGAACGGCACAACTACCGAGAACACTAAGCGTTACAAGCCAGGTTATACGCGTTACGCGCACGCCGGTATGGTGCACGGGTTCGCCGTTCGTCCCGCCAATGCCGTAAGCTCCTGCTTCAAATCTCGAGTGAACGCAGTTCAACTGACTCTCGCGGTTTTTACAGTCTGATCCTGCCCAAGTCGCGGAACTCGACGCCGCCTTCTACGCGGCCGTCAAGGCCATCAAAACTTATCTGTGATCGCACACATGGTCGCCTACTTGACAAGTGGCTGTCTAATAGCTCATATACACTGTGATTCGGCTAATATCCTACATTCTCGTATCGTCTGAGCTGTCTAAGATGCGCACAATATACTCGGTGGCCGATTTTGACTTGATTTCTGCCCTAAGTTCCATGATGAACGCCAGTGCGATCGCTACAGCAAGTACTGTACCTCGGCTGTGGCTTTAGCAGGAAGCTTCGGTGTGCAGCAAAACGAGCGACTGGTTTGATCTGCTGAACATGGCTCATTTGATGTTCAAGTGCTTTGAGCCTGCTTCATGGTTAGCAGCATCTCGTACCAGAAGCGACGCGGACAGAACAAACAGGGAGACAGTGCAACGAATGGAGTAAAGGTTGAAATATAATGTAAGCTCACTGTATCTTTCATCGCGTGCGCACTTTCTCGGGCCAGCTGATAGGGGCTGCCTTTTGGGTCTTTGCTGCTGAACATGCTCAGCTCCCGACGGGATATTTACACCACCACCACCACCATGATGATTGATCCCCACTGCAGATCAAATCAAGCTCGAACAAAACACTTCCAATCACGCGACCGATCTCTGGTCAGGCTTCTCCGCCTGCCCCGTCCTCTGTGTGTGCGTGTGTGCGTGCGTACGACGTCGATCATCTACGAAAAAAAAAAAAACGTTTGTCGATGCTTCGGAGCGGGGTCACCCGGCTTCGTCACTTTCGTACCTGTCTTATTTGTGGCGATCCGCGTCGCAACCATCTATTGCCATCCGGAGCGTCGGAGGTTTCACTTCTGTTTATTTATTCTTCCTACAACGGGTCGAGAGTGATCTTTCATGTATTGTCTAGGCCCAAATCACTGGTCTGTATTAGAATGTACAGGTGGAGGTAGTAGGTACTACTGACCAGATGCAGAATAGTGGGGGGTGACTACGGGTTGGACGCGTGCTCGGAGACTGACACTCGCACGACTTCCTTTATCATCGATCTCTGAGCTGGACATAGACGAACCCACTTTTGAAAAAGATTGCGACTCAAAATGAGGCCAGATCAAAATAACACTCCAGACAATCAACAACTGCACTTCGAGCCTATTTTTTCGAGCTACGACTGCTGTTTACTCCACAGAATATATCAAAAATATCATCGACGAGGGGATTACAAACCACAAAGTCCCAAAACATTCAAAGTTATCAAACTGTCGTATGAACCCCTCAAACCCCAATCCGATACGACACGACCGGCTGGTCTAACGGAATGACGCTCCATTTTCTTATGGGCCCGGAGCAGTGTGGGTTCGAATCCCGCGCTGGTCGAGTTTGTCTTTTTTTCTTTCTTTTTGTTCACGTGTAAGGGTGTTATGTCAGTGTCGGTGGCAGTGGCAACACACGCGCCGAGACCAAAGCCTCTAGGTCACCAGCACTTATCATCTTAAATACTTATTTGCGCCCCTGATAGTTTCTAATTCGTTTCCTTGTTTTAGATTATGTTTCATATTTCCTCATCAGCACGCTCAGAGTGAGAAATAGCATGATTCCAAGGTGGAACACTATTCAGACCAGTCGGACGCGCCGAGAACTGTTTGCAATAATGATGCACAGTGTGATCAGCCAATTTCTGGTCTCATATTTCAATCACATGCATTCCACAATGTGGGCTCACCAAGTATGTACTGTATGAGAGAATGATGAAGCGCAGGGTACCGACTATCATCGAAAGATGTCCCTTCTCCTTCAAGTTAAATGACCGAGCACTTCAAGAAACTTTATGCGTGTTGCGTGCGGTCGTCCTAAGTGTAGTTGACGACAATGAGATCTGTGGGTCTTCGGTGGCCAAATTGGCGCGCGTGCCACCCCCCTCCTCACCTCACCACACCTGTGAATGAAAAAGATTCAATCGACCAGCGCGGGATTCGAACCCACACTACTCCTGAAGTTTAGGATTGAGAGTGGAGCGTCATTCCGTTAGACCAGCCGGTCGTGTTGAGGATGCGGTTGACGGACAGCTCATGTTTAAAGCTAGGACCATGCTTGGGACTACGTCTGATGATACCCGTAATCGTAACGTGAAACTTGACTCCACACAATCTGAGTGAGCGAGGTTGTTCAGACGTTCAAGTCGGTCAAATTATGGCATAGGTGAACTCTACACCAGCTATGTCATCCTGAATCTTCACCGTACCTCCTCCGGCTACCACCTACGACGCGAACAGCTCATATGAATAGATAGTACATTAATTAGCATATATTATTACTACTGTCTTCATAAAATGCTCCCGTGTGTCCCCTACTGGAGCGTGATCCGCGCATCTGCAAACACAGATTTGCTCGCTGAGATGACAGTTATGGAAACAGAGTCTAGAAGAAATAACCCTACTTCCAATAGCTCACTATGCATTTCGAAAAGCATTTCATACATTACAACGGCTTCAAGAGAGCTTCATGTTGCTGTTGCAGCTTGCATGTTCTACAGCATTGTGCCCTCTGTAAGCTCTCCCTCAGGTGCTCTTCCAACACGACCGGCTGGTCTAACGGCATGACGCTCCATCATAGATAGCCTAGGAGTAGTGTGGGTTCGAATCCTGCGCTGGTCCACCATACATTTTTGCTCCGGTGTGGTGGCACGCACGCGATTTGGCCACCCAAAACGGCGATGAAACCTCCAGATCGCAAGCGCCTGGTGGTATAGACACTTATCGCGCTCAATTAGATACTCACGCTCGAGAACAAATTTGGGCAGGCGAAACCGTGCTGGACATGCGAGGGAGAGTGCAGATCACCCCTTCCTGATCTATGGGCTACTAATAGGAGGCCAGTCAACCGGTATAGGGTTCGAATCCATCCCCTCCCTCTCGAACCTGATACTGACACTGAATTGAGTACCCTGTGCTGAAGATTCGGCTCCCCTTCCCATTTCCTGTGGCGCCGCGGAGAGCTGGTTGCTCCGCGACAGAATTACAGAAAACACATCCATTGAAGTTATTAGCTATTGGTTGAGCTAAGATACACAAAGAGACAATGCGACAGCTTCCAGTCGCAGGCACATTATAGCAAGGTCCTAATCGCATTTCCAACTTTTGGATACTATTCAAATATATGCGCTCTAGGGCAGCGTTTGGAGAGACGAGAGCCTCATACTACTTATATAGTAACCATCAGATACGTGCCTAACACGACCGGCTGGTCTAATGGCATGACGCTCCATTCATCAGAAGCTCTTCCGGAGCAGTGTGGGTTCAAATCCTGCGCCGGTCGAGTGCATATTTTGCTCGCGGTGAAGTGGCAAGTGGGTAGTTGGCCGCCCAAACAGCGGGGCGTCACGAGTGCAAGCACAGGCCGTCCCTGGGGTCCTTCAACCTCTTCAGAGGGTCCATTATCAACTTCTACTTCTTTTAATTGCGCTGGCAGTGAGTTTGCTGATTAGGAGGACCGAACGAAGAAATGTTTTACCTCTGAGGGGCTATCACTTGGCTGAACCCCTGGCTGCGTGCGAGAAGAGTCAACAGTCGATTGAGCGAGCGATGAAGTGCAAAGAGAAATAGCTAGCAGACCCGTACGATGCGGCAGTCTACATTCTCCAGTGTCATAAAGGTTGGTTGATGACTTGAATGGACGATTCTGCTGACTACCGAAAGAATATAGCTGCTGTGCTGACTCTTCTGGACGTTCAGATCTGAGCCGTGGTTTTCCTAACTTGGTCTGCGGATCATGTGAGGTTCATGATCGTTGTGAAACGCAGCAGCAGCTAGGGATTGCGACGTGCTTACCAATGGCTTACCAATGCCAACCCTCGCGGTCACCTCCATGTAATTTCTACTCGAATGGACCGAAATTTGACTTATGTCATCGGGTATGACATCCTCTGGCGACCGAAATTACCGGTTCCATTGCCGGCGCTTTCCGTGACCGAGTCCTGGCCTCTGCTTCTCACAATGTCGAAGCAAACGCACATCGCGGACATTCATTAAATGATATCCCGCCGTTCCAGACCAGTTCCGCGCGGCAGCCAAGTCAAGAACTCGCTCACTGCAATGTTTGGCGTCATCTCCATGGGTCGTTGCACAATTGTGCTGACACCATCGCAGCGGCCGCCGTCCATCACCCGCCTGTGCATGCGTACAAGCTTACCAAATATGACGGAGATTGTTGTCTGATTAATGCGCAGGACTCCCACTCGTGTCCTCTGCGCGTATAAAAGCGCAGCCCAGGGTGCATCACCTCCTTCACTACACATAAACCTCGCGTCAAGACTACTTCACAATGTTCAACTTCAAGTCTCTTCTCGTCGCGCTCGCCGGCCTTGCCGCCATTGTGTCGGCGCACGACGGCATCACGCAGAAATTCGCACCCGTCTCGCCGGCAAGCCTCATGAAGGGCCAGCCAACTGGCACAATGGTTAAAATCGGTGGCGTCGACACGTACGTTGCGCGCCCGCCTCATATCAAGAAAGGGTGCAAGGAGGCAATTATCTTCCTCACCGTGCGTATCCTTCCCGACCCATGAATACCGGTCAGCGTGCTTACTTCTTTGCATGTACAGGACATCTTTGGACTTCCTCTTCCCAACAACAAGCTCCTGGTACGAGGCCGACGACGCCGATACGGACGATTTGAACGAGCTAACACTCCATTCAGGCTGATCGCTTCGCGCGGGAGACATCGCTCCCCGTCTACGTGCCAGACTACCTGAACGGTGCGGTGTACCTTGCCCCTTTATTTCATGGCGTGAACTGATACGTGTCATGAATTCAGGTGACCCTATTCCGTACAATGCGACTACTATCGACCTCACGGAATGGCTTCCTCGCCATGGAGGTACGCGGCCACATACATCTCGATCAACACACGTCTGAAACAGACTGTATTCTTCCAGAGGACGTGACATCTCCGTTGATCCTCTCCGTCATTGGCGGCCTGAAGAAGCAGGGTATCAATAAGTTTGCGACAACTGCGGTACGTAGCTGGTTCCTCTTGTATCTTGGGTCGTTCATCGTGATAGGTTTGTGCTGACTGACGGTGCTCGCTCCAGTACTGCTTCGGCGGTGTGTATGCTATGCGCCTTGCCCAGAACAACACGGTCGCCGTCAGCGTCTCGGCGCACCCGTCGTTCCTGACGTATGTCGCATCTTGGACTTGCCAGTCAGTTTGATGCCATACTGATCCTGTCTGCAGGGTTCCCGAGGACTTTGAAACCCTCCAGGCGAAGAGCAAGGTCCCATCCAGATCCACTCTGCTGAGCTTGACAGTGCGTTTATACTTCTCCCCCGTTGGAACACCCGCTGAGATGTGCTTTCTTTTCAGCTGGGTTTACGCCCGCGATCGCAGTCATCGCCGACGGCGTGATGAACGGCACGACTACCGAGAACACCAAGCGTTACAAGCCAGGTTACACGCGTTACGCGCACGCCGGTATGGTGCACGGTTCGCCGTTCGTCCCGCTAATGCCGTAAGCTCCTGCTTCAAATCTCGAGTGAACGCAGTTCAACTGACTCTCGCGGTTTTTACAGTCTGACCCTGCCCAAGTCGCGGAACTCGACGCCGCCTCTACGCGACCGTCAAGGCCATCAAAACCTATCTGTGACCGACACGTGCATGCTGCAA